GGAATGTCTAGTGGAAAATTCCTTGGATTCGTCGTCACCACTAAAGGTATACATATCGATCCTGACAAATTGAAGGCGATACACGAACTGCAACCCCCTAGAAATCTAAGAGAGCTCAGAGGATTGCAATGACGCTTAGCTTACATCCGGCGGTTCATCTCAAACCTTTCTGGGAAGTGCCAACCATTCTCTAAGCTAAACAAGAAAGGGGTGTCATTCATCTGGGACGATGCCTGCCAAAAAGCATTCGAAGATATCAAAACATATCTGACGAATCCTCCTATTCTCGTCGCACCAAAATCAGGTAGACCGTTCTTGATTTACATCAAGGCGATGAACCACTCGATAAGTGCTTTACTAGCACAAGACGACAATAATGGTCACGAACAGGCAGTTTATTACCTAAGTCGGACCTTGATAGCCGCCGAGTCTCGATATCCGATGATTAAGAAGGAATGCCTCGCATTGGTATTCGCAATGCAAAAGATGCGGCATTACTTGGTTGGACAGACGATTTACATCATTTCCAATGTTAACCCAGTACGGGTATTTATGACGCAACCGGCCTCTATGAATTGGCGGTTAGCGAAATGGGCCCTTCTCTTGTCCCAATATGATTTGCACTTCAAACAACAGAAGTCGATCAAAGGACAAGCGATTTGTGATCTTCTGGCGGCAAACCCGACCACAGATACGGCAGAAGTATATGATGACTTGCCGGATGAAACCCACGAGGTTAACACTACATCACACCAACAAGTATGGCAATTATACTTCTTGCGATCTTTTGGCGGCAAACCCGACCACAGATACGGCAGAAGTATATGATGACTTGCCGGACGAAACCCACGAGGTTAACACTACGTCGCACCAACAAGTGTGGCAATTATATTTCGATGGTGCCTCAAGGGCAGTTAATAGGGTAATAACCCCGGGAGGTTCTACAGTTTCCTCCGGGGTAGGAGTTGTCTTAATCTCCCCGGGGAAGCATGTGATGCCTCGAGCTTATTCATTGACTAGTCCGTGCTCCAATAACGTAGCCGAGTACAACGCGCTTCTCATTGGACTCAGTTTCGCCAAGGAGCTGGGGGTCGAATATCTCGAAGCTTTTGGGGATTCTCAATTGATAGTCAACCAAGTCCGTGGAGAGTATGAAGTCAGGAACCAAGACCTGATCCCGTACCACCAGGAGGCCATCAAAATGGCAGAATCTTTTGAAGAATTCTTCATTAAATACATCCATCGTCTCCAGAATGCTTATGCGGATGCACTGGCAGCGCTAGCGGTATCACTTGCGCAGCCTCCCGAAACCGAGTTGTTAGTCACAGTAAGGACGCATCAGCTCTGCATACCCATATACAATATGGATATTGAAGA